GGTTCAAATCCTGCTCACAGCGGTATGCAACTTTAAAACCAATATTTCAACATCTGCAGGCTGTGGCTTTATGTTACACAGTGAAAGACACAAGTTGCTAACTTACATCATGGTCATATATTAAGGTGAGATTAAAGAAGTACCAAACCTAGAGAGGTTAGGGTGTGGCAGTCAACCAAGACAAAGGAAAGCAGTAAAGGCATTTGATTTAAAATCCAATGGGGTCTCCCTGCATGGTTCCAACCCAACTCACAGCTTTATCTGACTTTACGACATTATTTAATTCCAAACTGACCTCTGATCTGTAGTCAGACTGGTTGAAAATAAGCCACTAACAATGCAGACAATCCTGACATCGCTTCCCAGGCAGTTTAAGACCCATTCACACTTCAACTGACTCTAACGACTGTCACTTTACCATGTTCATTGTCTTAGTTTAGGACAATGGCATGCTAACATTTGCTAATTAGCATTAAACAGAGAGTACAGCTGAGGCTGATGGGAATGAGTTTTGCAGGTATTTGCAGGTATCAACAGAAGTAGTAAGATTTTGACCAGATGAAGGTGGCAGATAAATTCAGATAAATCCAAATTTTTACACTTTATCCTGTGGAGACCATGAATGTCTGTAAAAAATATCATGGAGATCCATTCAATAGTTGAGACTGACCCACACTGTCATCCAGTCATGAAGCTAGTTTTAACTTTTATGCCCCCTAGTGGTAGAAAGCAAAAAGACCTGGGGGCATTGTGCCACAAGCTTTTTTTTACACTCATTCACAGGTCATCAAAGACGCGAGCTGTGTTCAGTTAGTTGTAACTTCACCACTAGATGCCACTAAATCCTACACACTTTGCTTCACTTTGTGTCAACTGATAATTCATATTCAATATTTAAATATCATTGGTTGCATTTCTGCATCGATTATCCTTATTTCATATCGGTTATTATATGAGTGATTCTGTGTCAGTGACTGAGAAAAAACTTTGTCTTCTCTGTTGAAACAAGTGCACAAGAGGACAAACTGATGAGCAGTTTGGGCATTTGTGTCACTTCTCCTCTGGGTAACATTTTTATTAGTTGTCAAACTGTCTCAGTACCAATGTCAGGCAGACATTCCTGTGCACTTACTGGACTTGGCAAGTGAAGAGTATGAGCATCAGTGACAAAGCAAAAATTCTCTTCTGCATTTCAGCAAGTGTACAAAAGGACAAGTTTGATGAGCTGCTTGGGCATTCACGTCTGTTTCTTATGCTTAACATGCATCCAAACACAGCTTTTTGGCAACCGAACAGAGGAGCAGGCGCCAACGCCAGATGGGGTAGCGGAACGAAATGTTACCGGAAATATGGCTGCGGCGCGCAAAGCACAACATGAACCGAGGCATTTGGCAGATGAACGATGACGTTCCTGAAAGATTCGAGTAATACAGACTGCAGCTCCAGATGTGATGCCACAGGATGTATGGGTCCAGCACAGAGGACGCACACTTAAAATGAGAACGAGAGCACCAATGCTGTCAGCTGTAAACCCAATATCTCAAGTTTTCAGATGGAAATGACATTCCACACTCTGTTAAAGCACACAATATAAACTGCTGAAGACATATACAGAGAGAGCTGGGTGATTAGAACCCTTAGAGCAGAAATATATGGTTTCAAATTCTGACGTTAACCACATGATTGGTTCATAGAGATATGATATTGGTTGAACTGAACACATGGAAGTCACACTGACATAATGATGACATAAAGAGTTGCAGTTGCAGTAGCTAACATAAGTATGTGATTTGCTGTTGTTATATAGTGTTAGGCGGCAGGTCCTGTATGTTTAGTGTTATATGCTACTGTGTATATATCTTAATTTGTGTGACATGTGAGAGCTGCAGATGTGAATTAAAGCTGCAAAACTTGTAGTTTTCCATCTATATCTTTCTGCTTCTAACAGCAGCAGGAGGAGTCGGCTGCCCAGCAAAAACAGCCAATAAGGTAATAATAAAGAGGATCAATTCCAAACGAACTTTGGTAAAATACACAAGTTGGCAAAATGTATGGTTCATACTATGAATGTAAATGTATAAATCGAATAAATAGGTCCACAATTAAAATAGGAGCACACAATAAAAAGCTGTCTTCATTTGTCAATGTATCCATCAGGGACATGTAATCCTTCACCTGAACAGAAAAAATGAAAATCACAATCAGAGTTACAAGATTACACAATTTAAGCATACAACAGTCGTATGTGTTTGCACAATCAAAGTCGAAAATGTCTCATTTTGAGTGAAAAAATTGAACCTGTCCCGAGGCTTTAAAAAAAAGGTAAAAGGAGAGAGACTGAGAGATAAACAACAGAAATAAGTGGAGTTCTTTGTAAGTTCTAAAGGGTCAGTCAAAGTCTACCCTGTCATAAAAATACACACACAGACACTCCCACAAGCACATGTCCACTGTTCACACTGTTCACCCTCTTTTAGTTGTTTTTGGTCTCTACACACTCCTGAGGGAAATGGCTCTTTAGCTGCTAAATGCTCCTCTATGTTCACCTGACTGCATCTGTCTGCTGTTTGGTGCTGAGCAGGTAGTGTACAGAGGGCTTTTAGAGCTTTTTCTCTGAAAACAGCAGCCCGCTGGGGCCAAAAACAACACCATGAGAGTGGTGAGAGCGAACCAAAACAGTAAAGTTGCTAAACAATGAGCTGAAACTCGCTGTAATGCTCCATAAAGCCGAGGTAATAACTCTCTGTAGGTTCATACGAGCTTGCACATTGTGTTCACATTGCCATTTGATACCTTGTCCTTAGAAAAATATTGATTATAGCCACTTTAAATATCCATCTCTACCCAGATAGCCTTTCATGAGTCATCCTGAACAAGACTCTACCACTGCCAACATCTCATTATACTTTAGACGGTCAACCAACAGCACATTTTCTAACAATCGAATCTACACTTGTGCCTTGATGAGCAGTGAATCTAATTAAATCAGTTCTACTCGTTACAGAACATTTCAGCACCCGGACACCTTCTTTAGATCCCTGCAAAATGAATTACGACCCCAACTGCCACGGATCAGGCACAAGCCTCTCTTTAACAGCTGCACAGTGTGTCAGGCCAGCTTTCGCCATCAAAGAGCCATAAAACGGAGCTTTTAATGGCAGCCGTGGTGGCTGAGAAAACGGGCGTTAGCGGCGGGTGAACAGACGGCATCTGACACGACAGGTTAATAAACGTTGGAGCCCCTGCCAGGATATTCAGAGTGACTCTATGCTTCTCACAGACTAAATCGACCACAGACATGTGGGCAGGAGGCTGCCGGCCAGTCGTGGTACAAGTGCACTTTGAGTGAGATGCTTCCACATCTTAACAGCTGACTAAATGAGACTCTGCGGTGCAAAAGGGGCGAAGGAGCAGGATGTTTTCAGGGCCGAAGCTGGTACTTTAATCCACAAGGATCAACAGATAATGAGCTTCAGTTCCTAGATGGGCAAAAATAAAAGCAGACAACAGCGAGGAGGTCAGAGGTCAGAGCCTTCGTGCCTTAACAAAGAATAGAACAACTGTTTTGTAGAAGCTCTGGCTCGCTTTGCATTCTCTCTTTTTTCAGATCCACTGGTTTTCTCTTCTACCATTTCCACATTTTGACTAAATTATGCAACCACCAACGGCCATATTCAGAGTCACAGTAATTAGAACCATGGGCATGATGATTTATCAACTTATGTAAATCTAATTTCCAAACCCTGAAGCGCAACCACACTCACTGCTGTTTGCAGCGTCAAGGTGAGAGAGCAGATTAAGGCTTCTAGCAGGGAAAAAAGTTGTGACAAGTTTTATTTTTAACCAATCCTGACACCTTAGCAACACAATATGTTTGTCTGGTCCATGTAAAACTCCCCATAAGATATGACCAGTCCAAAAATAACTTATACAAGCAGTTGACGTGAACTTCTAGTGGGTGTTTGTGGCATCTCAGCTCCAAATGTTTGTCTTCTTCTTGTCTTTTTGTGTATTTTTAAGAAATGTGCACACTGACTGCTCTACCTTACACTCCATGGTCAAAGCTACACAATATGTAAATCATTTTCCAGCATAGCTCTGTGTGTGGGTGCATGAGGTTGTATTTGTTCTTGTACTTCATTTTTGATTGTCGGTGTGCAACATACAGTGGATCAAGCCCAATTGCACTGTGGGTAATGTAGGCAATATATATCTGGTTCAGCTGCATTGACTTT